TTTGTAATTGAACATGTAGATAAAAAATGAGAAAAAATCATTAAAATTGTGACTTACTTTTTCATCTTGAATACCCTCAGTGTACCTTTAATTACTTTTAAAGCATGTTTTTACATGTTCTAAAAATTATTTTATATAGAGAAATTGAAGTCCTACTGCTGTGTTCCATCCTTGAGTTTGACTATGTATTGTATTAGCTCTGACAATGCCTTGCTACTTTAAACCAGAGAAAAGCAGTAAAGGACATGAAAATGAAGAACGTTTTGGTATGTGTAACTTCTGCTTGTACTAATTATTTGGTATTTGCTCTTGTGACAACACTGAGCAAACTTTGTAAGAAAAGAAAGGATTTTACTCACTTTGATGTATTTATTAGTGTTTTTGTAGCTAAAGGATTATATCCTCAAAATAATTCTCTAGCCTCTAAAGCCAAACATGTATCTAAAGAACTGGGCCTGCTTTTCTAAGTCTTTATGGGCTGTGGTTTGCTTGGTCTGCACTTTGCTTCTTTGTTGGATTCAACTCAAATGCAAAACCTTCAGGTGTAACAAGTTGCTCTTCATATTGCACAGCAGAATATGCTTTATTCTGATCTGTGAAGGAATGAAAATGTTCCTGACACCTGACAGTGGTAGTCACAGCATGACTTCATTGAGTTGCCCAGTGTGGCAACTCACCTATTACAAGGATAAACAGATTACAGCCAGTAAAAACTTTTATAGAATGTCAGCAGTAGGAAGAAAACCACAAAACTTTTATCATCCCTGATCAGCCCACTGGTGTGTTTCAGCTCTCTCCAAGTCACCAAATGCTTTAGAGGAAATGGGAGGACTCTGACAAACACACATCTCTTAATAAGCAGATGGGGAAAATTGCTAATACAAGTTAATATATTATCTAGCAGGTCCTAAAAAGTGGAGCTCTCTAAAGGAATTTGTGTCACCTGGCAGCCTGTCCTTTCCTGTCATAGGGCAGAACATGGATGGATGTGCTGAATAGTGCCAGTGGGATTAGAACTGCTCAGGATGAATTTGGTACCACACTGCAGACTGAGCATGCTGAGGAGATGGAGCATACCTGGCTGATTTGTGCCTGGGTAAATTCTGCTTGCTGGAGCCACCCAGCAGGTGACAGCCAGAATTCGTACTCTGCGAAAAGAAGGGGGGTTAATAACTCAAATGAATGTGCCTGGCTTCACAATAGAAGGTGCTTTAGTTTAGTGCACAGTCCATCTATTCCACACATCCCCCAGCCAAATAAAGGGCCTGTCTGCAGAGGGCTGAAAGTGATGCTAAGTAATAACCAGGGAATTAAAGATTAAATGGGAATAAATGGCCAGAGTCACCACAGGTGGAATTCTGGAGCAACTGGATGTAAAACAAGAGAAGGA